ATAGATAGATAGATAGATAGATAGATAGATAGATAGATAGATAGATACAGTAAAATAAGACTTTTTTAAAAAGGCAAATCCAGAAATAACATCAGTTTTTACATTGTGTGCCATTCTGAGTAGAGTGTTGAAGTTTGTGCCATCCCACTCAGCCTGGAATATGTGTGAACCCTGCTGTTGTTTGGTTGTATCCTCACTGAGCATGCTCCCCACCCAGTACTCACTGAGTAGCCGGCTCCATTATCACATTGCTCCTTGAGGTGTGGGAGGGCTTTCATTCAAAGAGCCTCTGGTGTACTTAGTGGCTGCAGAGCACAAGCACAGGGACAGGCTGAAGAGGTGCCGTGATGCTTCCTTCCTCCAAGTGGCCTAAGGAGAGAAGAATATCATATGCGAGGTTACTAAGATGGAAGAACTGGAGAGATGGCTCAGTAGTTGAGTGCACACTGCACCCGGGTAGGGCAGCTCACAATTTGTAACTCCATCTCCTGGGGACATGACACCCTTTCCTGGACTCCACCTGTCTGCACTCACAGACACACACTGTGTAGGAGTCAGAACCAGCCACTGCTGATCATCCACGGGGGGTCAACGGGTCAGACCCCCACAGAAAGGGGCTTGTGTATTTGCTGGGAATACTGTGTCTTCAGTCTGTGAGCATCAGTATGGAGAAGTTTGTCCCCACCAGAGCATGCGCGGTAACACTAGGCACAGCTGCCTTGCGCCTCCTCTTCGGGGGAGTAAATTCATGTTCATTGTCCCATAATCACTGACGGATTGTTTCTGTTAGGGGATTTTTGAACGGTTTACCACAATTATGCCCAACACATGGCAGTTGTGAGCTCATGTCCAAGCATGTAAGAGAAAGATAAGGAGAATTCAGAGCAGTTGCTGTCTGTCTGGTACATCTACAGGCTGGTGACTGCAGTAGAGGCGAAATGAACAGAGGAAAGGCCCTATCACCCACCCACCCACCCACACACCCCAACCACAGCATGAGCCTGATCGTGTTAGTTCTCAGTTCATCTCAGCCTTGAAGATCGTAGGAACATTTGCATGGGTTTGAAGTTTTTAATTTATTATATTTGTTATATATGTATATGTGTGCATTCACACACACACACATATATATGAGTGTTTTGCCTGCATGTGTATATGCACGTGCCTGGTGCCCTGGAAAGTCAGAAAAACCAGGTTTCTTCTAGAACTGGAGTTGTGAATGGTTGTGAGCCACCATGTATGTGCTGGGAATCAAACCCAGGTTCTCTGCAAGAGCAACAAGTGCTCTTAGCCACTGCACCATCCCTCCAGCCTCCTCTCAAGGCTCCTATTCTGGAAGCTTGGAGTCAGATCTGAAGGTTGAATGAGTAGTGAAACCTGCCTCCAAGTACCCATTGCTCAACTTCACGAGGGTGAGCCGGCCTTTCTCTGTCCCTGCCTGACAGCATCACATTCTGGTTTTAGATGCTATTGCCCCTACAGATAGCACCTTTTTATCGATATCAATTAGTGTTCGGAGTTCGATTGTCTGATATGTGTGTGGAGGTCAGAGGACAACTTTTAGGAATGGTTCTTGCCTTCCACGTGGTCCTGGGAATTGAACTCAGGACATCAGGCATGGCAGCAACCACTTTTTCCATCTCAACCATCTTGCTGCTTTATAAATGTTTATATGTTATTCTGATTGGTATCACAACAACATTCCAAGAATTGAAATTTGACTGTGTGATGCTGCCGTAAGTGATTCCACTTGGCTTCCATGTCTTGACATATCTACTTGCCTAGTCTTTTGGAAATACACATTCTTTTCAGTTTTTCTCTGTTGTAAATGATGAATCAACGTCTAGAAGTCTAGCAGGTGTCCTTCCCTGTAGCAAGAGATTATGAGGTGAGTGTGTGACCCCTGAAAAAGGTTCACCTTGCCAGAGTAAAGAAGGGACCAAATAAGGAAGTGATGAAAGTGAACATGATGGAAATGAGAAGGAAGGAAGGAGACAGGCAGAGGAGCAGGGAAAGCAGCTGGCTAGAAGTAGGCAAGCAGGGCTGGGGTCAGGAGAGAAAGGAAGGCGCCGGGGAGGGGGGATGGGACAGGGTGTTGGTGCCAACAGCAGGTTTCTGGCTCTAACAGACTGGCTGGAGGCAGGAAGTGTTTGACAGACGAGATTGCCCATTGAGCAGTGACCTGGGGTCAGAGCTGCCCTGCCAAAGGGTCCAGGTGGCTTCCTGGCTTCCCTAGAGGAAGAACTCAGACCCTCTTCCCTCAGATATGCTAATGAGCAGTAGGCATGGTGCTGGCCACGCCTCAGAGCAAAGGTGCTGAATCTTTGCTTTCTGGAGAAATGCCTTCATGTGATAGATAGGTCATGATTTGTGTGTAAAGGGGGCGAGGCACTGGGTAAGGGCCGCTTCCTTGAACTGCCTTTTGTTTCCTGATTATAATCCAAATCTTCTAATCTTGATATAAGATTGGGAGCAATGGCCATCCAGTCATAACCCTATAGTTTGGGCCAAAAACATGACCCTAGAACAGCGGTTCTCAGCCTTCCCAATGCTGCCACCCTTTAGTGCAGTTCCTCATGTTGTGGTGAACTCAGCCATAAAGTTATTTTGTTGCTACTTCATAACTATAACTTTGCTACTGTTATTAATCATAATGTAAATATCTGATAACTGAACTCTGGGGGTCACAACCCACAGGAAGGTGCAAGATCATGGGGTCTTCCCACACAGTCAGTCCTGGGCCCCTGGCGTGGCTCAGCAGGGAAAGACACCTGCTGCCAAGCCTGTGACCTAAGTTTGATCCCTCAAACTCACAGTGGAAGGACAGAACTAATTCCCAAAAGTTGTCCTCTAACCCTCCACACGTGAACCATGGTATACACGTACCTGTACGGACACACACGCCTGCACGTGCAGCATACATACACACATAATTTAAAGTTAAGGCTTTTTGAGCTGACACGTTATTTTTCAAACATTGTGCAGTTAGGAGGGTCATGACAGTCCTTAGAGGATGGGAAGCAGCTGCTGGGGTTTTGTTGTTTTTTTATTTTTTATTTTTATTTTTATTTTTGGAGACAGGGTTTCTCTGTGTAGCCTTGGCTATCCTGGAACTTGCTGTGTAGACCAGGCTGGCCTTGAACTCATAGAGATGTACCTTCCTCTGCCTCCTGAGCACTGGGATTACAGGTATGAGTCACCAAGCCTAATGAGTCATAGTTCTGTTGTTGGTTTTGTTTTAAGATTGATTTATTTATGTATTTTATGTATATGGGTACTCTTGTCTGCATGTATATCTGCACACTGGAAGATGACATCAGACAGTTATGAGCTGCCGTGTGGGTGCTGGGAATTGAACTCGGGACCTTTGGAAGAACAATGAGTGCTCTTAACCACTGAGCTATCTCTCCAGCCCGAGTATTGTTGTTGTTGTTGTTTTAATCACCTCTTAAGAAGAATTATCTCTGTACCTTACCATGAAGGGAGAAAATGTTCCTTTGAGCAAAGTGGGAAGTGTCCTTGAAGATCAAGCAAGCTGTCTTGTTCCATGTGGAACCTAAGGCAAGGACCCCGGCTCCACCTCCAGGCCCTGAAGGCCTCATGCACCTTCTCAGGTTCTTGTGTATAATGCTGCTCCGCATACCGGGAGATGCCCCCACACCCTCCACTCTGTCACAGGCTGACTGACATCCGACCTGGCATCAGGTCCCGGGACCAAAGTTGCATGCCTTAGTGACAGGCATCGGTTCCCAGGTCACAGAAGCTAAACTTTATTCCTCCTTCACTGGCAGCATTCGAAAGAAATTTGGTCTTCCCAAACAGGGAACTCTGGAGGGCATCAGAGTAGATGGAGGCCCACATGCTGCACCCAGGCAGAAGCCTACTCCCTGGAAAGTAGAGGCTGCTTCCTCAGTCCCCGTAGTGTTTACAAGTGTGTGTGTGTGTGTGTGTGTGTGTGTGTGTGTGTGTCTGTCTGTCTGTCTGTCTGTCTGTCTTGTGTCTCTGTCTTTCTGTCTTGGTATGAGGGCAGGCAAGCTGTCAGGAAGCTTGGGTACAGACTGGGCGGTTCCTTTGTGACTATTACAGGATTGGGAGGAAGCAGGATATAGGTAAGTCTGAGCTTCCTCATTGTATGTGGCATGTAGTGCCTGTATTACCCTGAGGCCCACAGCCCAGGCTCCCGTTTTGCCGTATGCACCTTTCGTGGAAGAGGGTGCCATGTTGAAGCCAGCTCTGGAATGTAGACCATCCTGCTCACGCCAGGTGCCCCCAGAATGAAGGGGAAGCAACAAAGCCAGACCACTTTGCTGGAGCCCTGGGCTTCTGACAGGGTGGTAGTCTCACTCTTCTCTTTAAACAGAGGAGACGAAAAGCAGGGCACAGGCAGACGTTTCTACCGTTATTAATTCTGTTCTGTTTGGGCGTTTTATTGAAACTTTGCATTTGAAAACTTGGCAAAAGCCCAAGAAGCAATAATGTATAAATAGTTCCCTTTGGTGTTTATCCTTCTGCTGTCGCTGGGCTTCGAGTGGCATTTAGAGACTCTTCCCATTGGGACCGCTGCCTGTAGAGTGGACTTACAGGCAGAGGCTAGAAGGCTCTTCCGTGGACAGCAGCAGGGTGAGGCACTCCACGGAGGCTGCAGATCTGTGCAGAAGCCCACCGTGTGACGCAAGCTGGTCCCCATTTGCTGTCTGTTGGCTGTCTTCCCCCTTTTTTGGCTAACTTCCTCCCTACCTCCCTCTTGCAGCCAGCAGTGAGGAAATAGATATCTGCCCTCTGTCATAGCTGTGGCGGCTGGGGATTAGCAGCACACCGTGCCTGTGCCTGTCCCTCTCATCTCTAGTCACAGCTAAGGGCCTTCCTCGGGACCTTTTTATTTCCACTCCTGGGGTGACAGCTGGGTGCTTCATGCTCAGCCTGGACTGTATGGCATCTGCTGTCCCTCCCCAGAGTCCTGTGACATTCTCAAGCTACCTTCTGGCCTCAGCATGAGCAAAAGCGTGAACTTGGACCCAGCATCAGTGTTCTTTTTATTTTGGGTTTTTGTTAATTATTTTTATTACGTGTGTGTGTGTGTGTGTGTGTGTGTGTGTGTGTGTGTGTGTGTATGTGAACACATGTTCACAAGCTAATGGAGACCAAAGAACAGCTTTCAGGAGTCAGTTCTCTGCTTGTACCATGTTGGTCCCAGGGATTGGAGCAGGCTCAGCAGCAAGTGCTGTCTCTCTGGCCCAGCATCAGCATTCCTGCTGTGGAGATTGGACATTGGCTTTGTGCCTCTGACAGGGGGCTGTGTCTCCCAAGGTTTTTAAGTTTTCATGGCCGGCCTGCCTGCCTTTCTTCCTGCCTTCCTTCCTTCCTTCTTAACTTCCTTCCTGTCTTCCTTCCTTCCTTCCTTCTTAACTTCCTTCCTGTCTTCCTTCCTTCCTTCCTGTCTACCTTCCTTCCTTCCTTCCTTCCTTCCTTCCTTCCTTCCTTCCTTCCTTCCTTCCTGCCTTCCTGCCTTCCTGCCTTCCTGCCTGCCTTCCTGCCTGCCTGCCTGCCTGCCTGCCTTTTTGTTCCAGGCCTTCCTGACCAGGGATGCTGTGATCCATCCTTCATCTTCAGGGTCAAGCCAGTGTCTGCAGTAGTGTCATTTTAATCAGCAGCTCCCCTCACATCCAGTGAACTACACTTGGCTCATTCCCCAGTCTCATCTCATTCCTTGCATCTCATTTAGCCGAAAATCAAGAATGCCTAGAAAGCCATTTGCTGCAGTGCACTGTGGGTTAAGGCCTTCTCTGGCTCCCTTGTTCCTCGCCTTATGGATGAAATCAAGCTCAACAGAGATGAACTTAAAGGCAGCTCGCATTTCTCCAGCAGGAAGTGCACTGGGAAGCCAGAGGAGCAGAAGGAAGGCACTGTGACCCTCCCTCTGAGTAGCAGTTGAAACTGTGTTGCTCTGGGCCAGCAGGGGCTTGTACAGTTGGTTCCCCCCACTGAGCAACTGGCAGGGTGCCCACCCTAGCAGAATGCCAGAGCTAGTGTCTCCCAGACCCCCCTGATTTTCAGTGGCCTCAACACATGCTTCTTGCACGGCCTGTCAGCATGTAAGGCACTCCGACTTAATTTGCTGGGGGTGCTGTTCCTTTACCTGCACCAAGAAAGCATCTTTATAGCAGGCACCTGGGACAGAACAGTGAGAACTGGGCACATACAAGAAAGTCTGAGCACAGGCACAAATGTCTCTTTCTCTCCCAAATTTAAATGACTTTAAAAATACATATAATTTGTAAATGGCCTGGACAGGCTGAGAGAGACGGCAGCTTGGCTCAGGAGAAAGTCTTGGTTGTGGAGCATGCTGTTCCTGGCAGATGGCAGTATGATGTCCTTTTAACAAAAGGAGTAGGGCAGTCTGGCTGGAGAGGATTGGGACACGCGCTGTCTGAATGTTCGCTTCACTGTTTCATTTCCTGAAATCCAAGTTTCCCATCTTTGGTCTATTCTCTAGAGAAAAAGCACAAAATGCAGAGAGGGTGATACACCTACCCCACACCCAGTGTCAAGTGATTGGGAATTCCAAAGTGAGTCCATGGAGCCTGCCAAAGCCCTGCAGCTCAGTATATCACATAGTATACCACACAGCTGACTTCCCAAGACGGGGTCCTGCTGCTCAAGGTGGCCTGCCAGAGCGCATGTCCCTGCTGGCAGCCTGCTTCTGACAGGATGCAGGACTACACACTCAGATTTGCTTGAAGCCATGTAACTGGCCTGAGCACACTCCTGGGATGGGTGCAGTCCCCACAGTCTGAAGAAGCCTTCCTGGATCCCTTCCTGGGTATTTCCTTCCCAGAAGCTCCCTGTTCTGGGCCCCTTTCTGGTATTTTCCCATCCTCTCAGGTGTCCCCTCTGAGTCAGAAAAACACAAGATGAGGCGGAAACACTATGTAACAAGACCCAAAGACGGAGGTGCCCATGGGTAATCCTGTCTACCCCTTGCAGCTGGGGCCCAGGAGGAGCCTCGGACACAGATGGCTGACCCCAGCTTCTCCTCTTTCCTGCCAGGGTCCTTACCTTGGCTTCCCTCTGTCAAATAACAAGGGCAAAGACGAGTCAGGTGTGGGTCTAAGACCATGAAGTGTGTCTGTGGAAAGCTTTGGAGACAACAAACCATTCTGATGATGCCATTAGTTTTTTTTCCTTCCCGTGATTCCTCATGCTGGGGATTCTAAAAGTGCATTTGTCAAATGTTCCTATCTGCTTCATGGCTTCCTGGTGGAGCAGAGCCGACTCCCGCAGTGTACTGAGACTGGCTGGCCAAGGAGCTCCTGCTGAGGGAAGCTGCTGTGCTGCCAGCTTGAGCAACCCTAATCCGACTGTCCTGGCCCCACAGGTCCTCTCTGTCTCAGCAGCTCTCCTTCCTGCACAAGGGCCTCCTGAGCAACCTCTACCTGCATGCCTCTGATTGTCCACTGCCTCTGCTCCAGTGGCTGTTCCAGGTGAGAACCACAGACCTGCCACTAGGTGGCGAGAATGATGCAGCTCTACAGCCCAGGCAGGCCCAAGGGTTTGAATTGGCTGGACACTCCTTGCCTTGGGTGCTCCAGATCCAGGGAAGGGAGGAAGGCTGGCAGGAGTTAATCCTTACCATAATGCTAAGTGTACCAAAGTCAGGGAGGGCCAGGGACCCAACTAGCCCCAGGTGGAGACTGCCTGGAGGTCTCTATTCAGCACCCCCAGACTGTGTGCCTCTAGGGTGTGTCACTGGGTGAGGGGTGTGGCTTTCCTGCGGTGCCTCTCGTTTCTAATAGGCTTAGAACTGAGTGACTGGGTCCACCATGAATACCATCTCTTTTCCTGCTGTCACAGTCATGAATGGCTCCTCCCAGGGGCACAGCTGGAGGAGGGTGGCCCCTCCAGCTGTGGAGGCCTCTGTAGCCTGAGTTCATTGCTATAGACTCTTCTGGAGTTTAAGGCTTTGCTGTTCTCTGTGAAGCTGTAGGTGGTCTGGAAAAGCCCAGAACAGCTGCTCCCTGCCCCAGATTCCTCCCTGGAGGAAGATTTTGCCCAGAGGCAACACACCTTCTGCCTGAGGATATAAACCTCTGGTATGTGAGAGGCTAGCAGACAGCCCAGGACCCAATGCTGCCATCCAAATGCCTTGCACTTGCATTGTCTTGGCCCTTGCCCAGGCCTGTCCCTGTCTGGGGATGGGCTGGTCACAAGTTCCAGCTGGTACCAGAGCTGCCAGTTGAGGCCTGGAGCCCAGCTGTCAATCAGGGCTACTGTGCAGGGTAGATTGATGTTTCAGACACTTCCCAAGCGGGGCTGGCTGGCTGGCTGCCCTCCTTACGGAGCTCACGCTGCACCCTCTTGGGACTCCTGTCCTGGAGGGGAAGGACCCTGAGACCCTTGTGCATAACTGGTCCTTCTCTGAGTTACTAGGGTGGGGAGATTGGGCCTGCAGGGTGGGTAGAAGCCAGAAACAGTCAAACTATTATTCTGCACGCGCAGTACAGTTTCTCCCTGCTCCTTGCACAGTATATGACAAAATACACAATCAGCCATTAGGAGGCACAAAGAACCTCTCTCACACATCGCCCACAGAGGATCCTTGTGTGACCCTGCCAGGCGAGGAGTGCCCTCCCTTTTCATAGCTCAGTCCCCACCAGATTCTGAAACCCAGACATGCAGTGCATGGAGAGGCCTCCCCTCTCTCTTGTGCTCTCTTCAGTGGGCCAAGAGGGGTACACAGGGGAGCAGAAGTAAAGCCTAGCACTAGGTGCAAGCTCAGGCTCTGCCACTTTTCCTTCTGCGTTGCTTTCGGCAAGTCCTTACTGTCAGCTCTGTGTGATGGAGCAGCAGTCCAGGGTGGGTTAAATGAGAAAATCCTACGATCTGTCTGTTCCTTAAACCTGTCCCCTTCCTTAAACCAGATCCCCAGCTCTGTTCAGGGCCTAGGCAAGGAACAGCAGCAAGGACACAGGTGCTGCTTCATGTCTCAAGCTAATGAGGACAGAAAGCACTGGGGTCTCCCCAAAACCACTGCAGGGGATTCTTACCAGGAAGTCAGACATGGCTAGGCCTCAGGTGGGAGGAGAACCAGGGATAGGGAGGGTGGACACTCAAGACAGACTTGTCTCTTCCCTAGGTGTGTGGCCAAGTAAGGCCAGGCCCCATGTCCATGTTGGAATGGGAGACTAGCCAACGTGATCCAGGCAGAAGCAGCTAGACTGGACAGGCCACAGGTTATCCAACCTGCCATTCTAAATGAGGGGTGACTGTCGGACCTTAACACCCCTGCTCGGCTGACCACTCCCTATTGTCACTGGGGCTAGGCGGGCCCTGGGTCTGCCCCTTCCTTGCTCCAGAGCTCCTGTGGGCCCACTGTACACACCTGGTGAACAGCCAGGCCTGGCATTCTTGATTTATGGAGCCAGAGCTGAGCGCCGGTTCAATGCAGTCGGGCTGCAACAGTCTCCTCACTGTGCTTGGTAGGGGTGGAGGGTGGGGATCAGGAGACCCATGAGCGTGTCCTAATTGAGGATGGGGGTGAACTCTTAGACCCCAGTGCTGGCCTAGAGATGGCCACAGCTTGAGCCAGGCCTGTAAGATGAACATCCTGGTACAGAGTCCCCCTTCGCTTGCTCCCTCCAGCTGTGTGGCTGGCCCTGGGTTGGGGGAGGGGATTCTTGACATCTGTAAAGCAACAGTCATGACCGTATCCTTCCACCCTATTGACTTGGAAGCATTAAATGAAGTTTATCTAATTAATACACAGTATTATATACATGTACAAAGTTGCTCCTGATGATTTACACCTAGAATCTCAGCACTTGGGAGGTAGAGGCAGGAAAGCCAGGATTTCAAGGTTATCCTTAACTACTCAGCAAATTCTAGGCCAGCCTTGGCTACATGAGATCCTGACTCAAAGAACCAAAACCAAAATAATAGTAGTAGTAATAATAATGATGATAAATTTGCATCTATGAAGTTTTGCTTCTATTACTATGTAATAAAAATCTTTTTTTAGAGGTAAGCAGATCTCTTATTAGTTTGAGGCCACCCTGGTTTACAGAGCGAGTTCCAAGACAGCCAAGGCTACACAGAAAACCTTGTCTTGAAAAACAAAAAAAGAAAGAAAAGAAAAAAAAAAAGTATTTTCCCCCCCTAGTTGTTAACATGGCCTCCAGAGACATCTTCAAAAGCTTTTGGTCTCCTCTGGGATCTCAGCATAGATGGACTGTTCCGTCAGCCTGGTAAGTACCCTAGTACTTACACCCTGGAGGGTGGGTGCTCACATTCTTCAGCCTGCCCCTGCTCCCTCCCCCACTCCCAGCCCAGCATGCTGTGGGGACATTGCATCACCTGTGGTAGAGACATCAGGCCACACATCTTTGGCTCTGGCTCCAATATTAGTGACAAGCTGAGCCAACAGGCTCCTTGGCACCTCCCCCAGGCTGTAGGTCCAGTTCTCAGTGCCTGAGTCCAGGCCAACTTCATAGGTCCTGGGATCCCTATACGATCCAGGAAGGTGAGTTCTGCCCCAGGCAGGCTCTGGCTCAAAACCACGGACCCACGAAGGAGAGCTGCAGTGCATCAGAATAGCACTTTGGGTTGACATCACCAAGAAGGAAGCCTCAGAGCTGTCCCTCCACCCCCATGCTCTCCTAACGGCAACTTGAGTGACAGCGTCCGGTTTGTACCTTGGCTATGGCATTTTGGGTATATTTGACTCAGCATTCCAGAGAAGCGTTTCATGTCCTGCTAATGGCTACACCTTCCCCAGCTGTCATCATTAGGTACCTGAACCTAGACACTTTGGCACCAAAAAATATTATGTAAGCAGTTGGAAGTTGCTTAGAGCTGGCAATGAGAGGGATTCTCAGAGGACTCAGACTCCGCCTTTGCGTAGCCGTAACCCTCTCCCTGAAAGTGCGCAAACATGCAGCTCTGAGGGCCAAGGTTACAACCCCTGGAACGCCAGGATCGCTGGCGCTTTGAGTGTCTGCATTGTGCTCCTCTGCTGTAGAAGTCGCCAATCCGGGGCCATCTGTCAAGTCAGCGTTCCAGACGCCCCCATGGGCCCCTCACTCAAGCCGCCAGTCTACGAGTGTTCTCCCTTTTCATAACCTCTGCCCCTGTGGCCTGTGCTGCCCTTTGCGGCCCCGGGGCCGCCTCTGCAGCATGCCTGCCCTTTTAGAAACACAGGCCTTTCTTGTCCACCCCTCTCCATGTTGTCCTGCGTGTCTCCTCCACTATGCTCTCCTTCATGCCCAATCAGGAGCTGTACAAAGGAGCTTCCAGCCTCCCACTTCCCAACTCCTGATGAGCCCAGCCTGGGGTCCGGTCCCCTGCCAAGTGGACTAGAGCCTGGCCTCGAGAATTCCCTGTCTGAGGTCAAGAGTGTTCTAATTTGGAGGAGGTCAGGCTTGATCCACAAAAGAACTAACTTTGTACAGATATCTGCACACCTGTGTTCACCATAGCATTGTGCATAACAGACAAGGGTGGAAGCAGCCTACATGCCTGACAAATGGAAGGATAAAAAAAAATGACACATATGTATGTTTGATGAAATGTAATCCTTATGATGGGCGGAATAGACATGTGAGGGAGTATGCCCTGAAAAGGAGGGAAGTCTGACACATGCTATAGTGTCAGCTGAAATAAAATAGTAACAAAAGGGCAGATCCCTTGGTTCCACTTGTAGTCCCACAAGAAGGGAAATCCATAGAACTGTAGCTATCGGGGCAGAGGAGGGTGACGGGGGTTGTGCAGCAGGGTGATGGCTGCACAGCAATGAGAGTGCAGAGGCCTCTGCCCTCACAGGTAGAGATGCTAAGGGGGCCGCAGGGCCGCGTGCCTGTCAAGCATGTTTGACCGCTCAGCTGCACCCCAACAAGGATGCCTGCCTAAGGCTAGGTTAGACTCAGGACTGCTACAAAGGAAAGCCAGTCTCATCAGGCTCACATACAGCCCGGAGGCTCTGGGGGCTGGGCCTCCGTGAGCACAGCAGAGCTCAAGGCAAAACTGCCCGACTGCCTTGCCTCACCACCTGTGTCCGTATCACCTGACCTTTTCCACACGTAAGTTCCTGTTCCCTGGGGTGCAGTGTGGGGGGGGAGTGCTAACTAGTGGCTGTCCTCTGACTCACTGTCCTGTGGAAGGCCTTATACAATCACTCTTACGCCAACCCACTTCCTGAGTCAGGAGAGTGGGACATAGCTTCAGCAAATTCTGTGAGGGGAGTTAAAGGCATGAGCACTCTGGCGGGGGGGGCGGGGGGGTAGATGTGTGATAGGATGTGTCAGGAAGCAGCTGTCAGTGAGCACGGACGGTGGAATATTCAGGAACACTGTTAGTCTTGACCCTCCTGGAAGATTCACTCATCCACTCACAGATAACTGAAGGCTTCCTGCAAAGGGACAGGATGACCCAGGCCAGCCCTTGTCCTCAGAAGGCTGATGACCAACAAGACGGCATGGTCCCTATTCAGAAGGGAAAAAGAGGATGGACATCAGAAGAGGGAGAAAATAGGGAAGAAGACAGGAGCCTACCACAGAGGGCCTCTGAAAGGCTCTACCCTGCAGGGTATCAAAGCAGATGCTGAGACTTATAGCCAAACTTTGGGCGGAGTGCAGGGAATCTTAGGAAAGAAGGGGGAGATAGAAAGACCTGGAGAGGACAGGAGCTCCACAAGGAGACCAACAGAACCAAAAAATCTGGCCACAGGAGTCTTTTCTGAGACTGATATTCCAACCAAGGACCATTCATGGAGATAACCTAGAACCCCCGCACAGATGTGGCCCATGGCAGTTCAGTGTCCAAGTGTGTTCCATAGTAATGGGAACAGGGACTGTCTCTGACATGAGCTCAGTGGCAGGCTCTCTGCTCACCTCCCTCTGAGTTGGGAGCAGCCTTACCAGGCCACAGAGGAAGACAATGTAACCAGTCCTGATGAGACCCGATAGACTAGGATCAGAAGGAAGGGGATGAGGACCTCCCCTATCAGTGGACTTGGGAAGGGGCATGGGTGGAGAAGGGGGAGAGAGGCTGGGATTGGGAGGGGAGGAGGGAGGAAGCTCCTTGTATGGGGGGGGGGGACAAAGCGAATAAACTGTAATTAATAAAAATAAAAAAATAAAAATAAAAAAATAAAGACTTGAAAGAAAAAAAAGAAGACAGCATGGAGTCAGCTACTGTCAGAGAAAGAGGAAGCAGAGGAGTGGGACTGGACTTCCAGCTGGGTGTGGCTGGCCACCTCTGGAAACTGCACAGGGCAAGGTTGTACTCACTTGCCGGAGACCAAGGAAGTCCCAAATGGAGCTCCTGCCCTGTCCACACCAGGTGCACACACACACCAGCTGTGGTCTCGGCCAGTGCATGGCACCACAGTCTTTCTGTCATCAAACTGTGTTCATGAAGCTGTCTGTGCCTTGGCTGTTAGTGACATATAGCGGGAAACTACAAAGTGTTGGTCTCGTGTTGCTCTGTAGCATCAGGGGTTTGGTTTCTGTGTCTGCCTTTCCCACTGTGTCCTCAAGGATCCAAAATGGCTGCCACAGGCTCGAGCATTACATGTTCTCATGAGACAGGGTTCAAGGCTGAAAAGAGGGCTCAGTGGTAAAGCTCCTGCCTAAGCAGGAAAACCTGGGATTGATCCGAAGCACTGGAAGGAAAAATATAAATAAATAAAGGCAAAGTTGAAACACAAGCCATGAAGCAGAGTATTGTGGCACACCTCTTTAAGGCCAGCACTCAGGAGGCAGAGGCAGCCTGGTCTACAAAGAGAATTCAGGACAGCCAAGGCTACACTGAGAAATTCTGTCTCAGAAAGCAAACAGACAAACAAACATACAAAAGAAGCACTGGCCACAAGAAAAGGCCCCTACTTTGCATGTATTTTTGAGTTTATGAGTCCAGAGAAATGAGTTGAGTCTGTCGTGGGAGTCACGCACGGCAGGCATAGCAGTAGGAGCAGGAAGCTGAGCTCACATCTTCCCCTAAGCCCAGAGCCGAGAGAGAGAGCTGGAGGTGGGGCAAGGCGATGAACTCAAGCTGCGTCCTCACTACTACCTCCAGCAAAGTTGCGCTTCCCCTAGGTTGCCTGACTTGGTGATGAGTGCCTTCACCTTGGAGCCATCTTGCCAGCCGACCTTTCCCTTCTTAACCAGCGCTGTTACTTTGTTTGAAATCTTTTGAGACAGGGCCTCTCTATATAGCCTTGGTTATCCTGGAAGTCACTAGGTAGACCAGGCTGGCCTTGAACTTACAGAGAGCCACTTGCCTCTGCCTCCTGAGTGCTGAGATCAAAGACCTGCCCGGCTTCCCAGGCCTTTCCTCCCCCCTTGTTTGACTGTACAGAGCTGGGCCATAAGCTTCAAAGGCTGCTTGTCATACTTCCTGGCTGTCAGTGTCCACTGAGCACCATAGCTCACTTTTCCAGCCTCCTTTCAGATATACAATTTTTTAAAAAAGAATGAGTCCTTGAGGAGCACAGTATAAAAGACTCTTGTCTACACAGCCTTGCCACTGTGCTAAATCCTCTGAGGACTATGGAGGGTGTAAAGGTCCCTGACTGGAAGACTGAGAATATGTGTAGGGTGTGTGGCCTCTTTCAGCTGCAGTGTTTTGTATAAGGGACCTACGGATTTGGAGAGGGTCTTGGAAACAACACCTAGGAGTCAAGGGCAGCTATGGAGCCTGAGCATAGTTACTGAGGTAGCCTGTGTGTGCCTCTCACGTCTGGTCCTTAGTTCTTCACGCGGCAGAGTTGGCAGGGAAGCAGCTGTTTAGACTGTACATGAAACGCTAGGCCTTGGGAGGGTCAGTCTCCTAGATGTCCGTGATCCCTTTCCGGAAATGCTTCGGTGGCACACGCATTCCTAGTTCTGACTTAATGAGCCTTTCCCTACGGGCTGTCCGGCAGAAAGTAGCCTGGTTTCTGCTGGGATAGCCTGAGCTGTTTCTTCAGACTGTGGCGCAGAGACCTGGCTGCTGCTGGCCTCTACAGGATCCTCTGCTAAACTCTTAACCCTGGGGTGGACATGCTTGCTCTGAGCAACAAGCAGCATAAATGATGCTCCCTTAGCAGCTCAGCAGCCCAGAGCCTGATGCTGTCACATCTGGACGCTTTCAAGTTTCATTTGTGTTGCTGTGATAAAGCACTGTGACCAAAACCAAATTGGGGAGGAAAATGGTTATCTGGCTTAAACTTCCAGGTCATAGCCCATCACTGAGGGAGGTCCGGCCAGGG